CATATCATAACGTGTCCGGTGCTAATATTATCAACCCTTAGAAATGTATTGTGAAGGACGGAATACTCTTATTAAGGGATAATTTTGGAAACCTCTCTTGAAGTTTTTGACAGCTTCATTTAATTTTTTTGAGATTTTAAAAATTACATATATCTTTTTTGGAGTTATCATTTCAATAACAAAACTATTCAATGGTTAAAATTTTGAATGAGTAACCCAAATGCTCTCGTGAACTTGTGACACAAGTTCATCTTACTTTCCTATAAAATTTTTAAAAAGTTTTGGAACACGTATAATATCATAAACTCACTTTTAACCTTCATCTCTACTATTCTAAAACTTCCACGTTCCTACATTCCAAAATCAATTCTACCATCTCTGTGACCACTACCACCATTGATCCCTAAATTTTAAAACTTCAAGTTAAAAAAAAAAAAAAAAATAGCACTATTAAACTCGATCAAAAAATTTTAATATAACACCCTATCTCTCAAATATTGGAGTACCAATACTAGCCCCACCTTTCTTAAACCTTCAACCTGCATCTTCTTCTATTCAGCTCTAGATCCACCAAGCAAAGCTAACATTAACTCATAATATGTTAAAATTGTGTTTAGGAGATAATTGGTTATTTTCATGAGTGAATTTTGTTTTCGTTTTGTTTAATGTCTAATTGTGTGAAATGGATTTATATGCACAAGATTAGAAGCGGATTGTTTAATTAATTGCACGAAAAATGTCGAAATGTTAAAATTATTATGGTCATTTTATAGGTTCAGCGGAAATAAGTGTAATATTAAAAATATTAAGGACACTAGGTGAAATTGTCAGAAAGGGAGGCTTCTGAAATTATCCCTAGTTTTAACTTGCATCCTAACAAAGAGACCAACTAATCAGCCCATTTCATTTTGAGCTGATAGAAACTGTTGGTGAATGTCGAAGAATCAAGTGAGGGAGACTCATTCGCTTTGATTGGGAAGAAAACATACTAGCTAGTAATTCCGAGTTGTTTCTTTTGAGTAATAAGTACTGTTCCTTGGCCAAGTAGAAGCATGGAGGCAAAGCACAGACTACAGAGAGCGTCAGATTTGCATCAGCCAACTCCATTTGCCATTGAGAAAAGAGAAGAGGCTGGAGCTCTCTCAGCCTCAAGCCCTGTTCAGACCTGCTCAGGCTAATCTTTCTGAAATGTAAATTAAAAGGCTGTTTTTTCGTACTTTCGAACAAGTCTTGCTTGAATGCTCTCTCACTTCTCAGATTGTGATGCCACAGAAGAAGCGAGCTTTGATTCGTTCACTTGATGAGTTCAGAGGACACTTTAACTAAAATACAGCATACCTCATTGATGGGGACCTGTCCATGTCCATGTAGAGATTCATAGCGAAGCTAATCTAATCAGTTGTGTTGTGGCAGCAGCAGCATGCCAGCATCCCTCCCTCCATCCTTCCCTATGCAAACACGTAGTTTCTCAAAATTTGTACTCTACTCAACCATTAGCATGAGTCCATTTCTCTATGCCCGAATCCATGACTGCCAATGAAACTATCCTTTGCTATTCATGTTACACATAAAGAGGGGGACAGAAATTATTCCTCATATATACTTGACACTGGTCTCTCTCTCTCTTTTCTTTTTTCTTTTTTTTTTTTGGTTTTGGGGATAATTTCACAAACCTCCCGTGAGGTTTCCAACAATTTCACCAAACTCTAGCTCTCTCGATTTTGAAAATTACACTTATTTCCCTTGTCCATATAAAATGGCAATACTAGATTTAGCATTTTAATTATACACCCTTGTTGGGTGTACAATATGCATATACAAAGGATGGGATTTATAATTATTTTTTCTTTTCCTTTTCTCTTCTTATTCCTTTTTTTTATATATATATTTTTGCTGGTGAAATCCTAGAAAACTATGAACAACAACTTTAAATGTTGAATTAGTGATTTTTTAAACAACTTTGAATGCCACCCAACTTTTATTTGTCGATCTTTTTTTTTTTATTATTTATCAAAAGGAACACTAACTCAAAAAAAGGTCAAAACTACTACCAAAATGTGGCAATTCCGACAATCTAATCCCTATAAAGCACCATTAAAAGCATTCTATCATAATGTAAATGTATTATTATAATTGCTTATCAGACAATAATAAATATGGTATTAAAGAACTTGACGCACTTTCCTCATATATATTTGTGCTAAAAGTTGCTTTGGAAAGTAATTAAACTTTATAAACTAGGGATATATATTTTGAGGTATTCATTTAAATTGTCGACCAAATCCAAGATTTGATTACAAAAAGTGTCAAATCAAAGGGGGTGGGTGTAACCTTTGAAACCCCAAGAAAGTTCAGCGAAATTAGCAAAAATTTCATAAGAGGTTAATGAAATTATGAAATTAACCCCCTTTTATTGGTATATTCAACTATTCTTTCCATATCCGCTATCAGCTCAGAGGAAGTGATGCGATGGAATTTAAAATACTAGTAACAGTTATGTTCAATCTCGACGAGGAAAGAAATTGTAAAATACGTGGCATAATGTTTTTGGACTTGCTTGAGATACTAAGTCACTCGTTAATGTGTCCGAAATAGCACAATATTGCAGTTTAACACCTACCATATAGTGTATATACAGCATAAGCTATTCTGTTGAATTAGATTATTCATTTGCATTTGCTCTACAACAACGGTTTCACTCCTATGAAACTGGCATGGGAGCACGTACGCTACTATGTGATGTGTTTCTACATTCTTGTTTTGACAATTATTTCTTTATAGAAGATGTTTGTTAGGTGGGATCAACGTGTTTGTGAGATTGCACAGTTTGCACATCCAGCCCATATTAGAGGGGAAAGAAAACATATATGTACATAAGTTTTTCAGGACAAGTAATGATCTAAGTTGTGCATTTGGCTACAATGGTGAGTGATGCTGTAAGGTATTCATTAGATAGCCTTCTACTTCTATAAGATCTAAGGAAATAAATATGTCAACTTTGTTTGACAAGCCATTTTTCATCAAAAAATTTATACGTTTTCCCTGCACATATTTTTCAATCATTTTTTTTTTATAAAACTCTATAGAAAATTGTAATTCAAACAGGTCAAAACAATTTATGTAACTGCTACATAAAACAGGCTATTTTCAATTGAATGTGATTTTAAGCATATTTAGGGAACTAAGTAATTACCTAAGTTGTGCATTTGGCTATAGTGGTGAGCGAAGTCGTAACTTGTAAGTGTGCATCATAAATTATTTACAAAATTTTATTTACTTCCATCATCAATATATTTTTAGTTATCTTTTTATCTTATATACATTATATCAAAAGGTCTTACAGTTTTTTTTTTTTTGTTTAAAAAAAATTATATCAAATAATCTACCATCCAAACACACAATTAAAGTTAAGCCACAGAATTACTGCTACTATATATTAGAAGGCATCAAGTAGTTTCTTTTTTTCTTTTTCCTTTTTGGCTAGGACGGGGAAAAAATTTAAATAGTTTTCGTTTTATTGCCAGTCCTAGTAGAAGGGTTTGGTCAACCGAGGCAGCCATTAAAGCACCCAATGCAATGTCGACACGTATTGATGCAGTCAGCGTACGGGGCCTCTAATCTAATGTGCTTTGTCCTATGTCTGTTTCAGTGGATGCACGGCCGGGGTTGCTTTTCAGAACGCTGCCGCAGCTGAGCTGCCTCTACAGTATCTGTAGTCTCTTCTCTTTATTTTGTTTGGCATTACTCTGCTTTTGTCTGACTGGCTTCTTTGGAAAATGGAAAATCAAAACAAAATTACTGAAACAAAATCAGGTGCTCTATATTTTAAATGTTGTACATTCTGAAGTGGAGATCTTTGGCCTGGATGGATTCTTTACCGTTTTCCTGTAAATTTAGGTTGTGTTTGAATTGCATTTTCTGTCATTTTTCATGAAAAAATTACTGTAACGATTTGATATATGTGAGGGAAAAAGATGATAGAAAAATGTGATCACGAAAAATGATAATATTTTTCGACGGAAACAAGCAATCCAAACAAGGCTTCCCCAGTGATTGGCAGGCAGAGAGGAGCAAAATCTTGTACAGTAATTTCTTTGTATTACTGCCTTCCTTCCGGAGTTGCTTTACTTACGAACTAAAAGGTTAAAACCAACAAAAGCAGTTAAAATCAAATATGCGCTTCGCTAAATAACATTATCTTAGAAGGAGCACCTAAATAACTTCCATAGTCAACTTTTGATCTTTTATCTATTTTACGTCTTAAACCGATCCCACAATAATTAAAAAAAAAAAAAGTCAAATTTTGATCATTTCATCTATTTGCTGCATGGTTTGAGCCGATGGGTTTAAGGGCAAAGATTTGAGGAATCTAAACAGTAGAAAGAGACTAAAGGATCAAAATGCGACGCATTTGTTATTAATTAAAGAATTAATTTCAGATTTAAAATAGATTAGAAGCCGAAAGAGTTGATGATTGAAATAGTTTAAAGGCTTCTCAGATGATTGAGACTTACGAGAGCCCAAAAGGAAGCCCATAAATTTGCCCTAAATGGTTTGCCTTATCATGGTTGGGCCAAGTGCTGCTTCAATGGGCAACTCCAAGTTTAGCAAAAGAAGTAAGAGAGCTTGAGAATCAAATCAAGAAGCTCCCCGTCACTGGACTAATGTCAAACTTTTTTTTTTTTTTTGGAAAAAAAAGACAATTCTAGTTGTAGAAAGTCCACATTGTATTTGGAAAATTTGTTTTTATTTGTATATTACTGTAACATTATATTTGAAAAACTTGTTAATGGTTCAACCTTTGCTTTTCTAGTTTACAATTTCCACATGTACAAGATAGGCCCACTTGGAGAGTAGTAAACATTTAAACCCACCCAGATGGGCCGGGAGTGCAGTCTTTCGTATCGGCCATTGACACGATTTCTTCAGAACTTGGACATTGCCATAAATTTGGTACCACGCTTTTAGATTTCATTTCCTACTTCCCCTTTTTTTTTTTTTTAGTTTCAAAGTAGATTGGATTAACCAACTTTAAAAAAATGGAGCTGAAACGGGGAGTAGGAACAGGAATTCAAAACAAACACAAGAACGAAGGGGAAAAACAGAATAAGAATGCCTGATTGATTGCAGTTTTTGACAAATCCGGCATAAATCTGAGGAGTAAAAAGTGAAGAATGATGATGACAAGAATAGTGGCTGGAAAATGGAGGTTCTCCATTTCATTGCTTCCATCGCAGTTGAACTACTCGGCCACTTTCATTTCAAGACCTCAACTGCTTATTCCTCCTGCACAACAATCTTATAATTCAGATACAGGTTTCTTTACTCTCTTTTAACAATTTTTGCTTTGTATTTTTTATTTTGAAAAGAACCCCTGTTTTCCTTTGATGCATTGGTCAGTGGTATTGTAATTGCTGTTAAATATTCAGTTTTTATGTAGTTAAATTGGTGCAAGTTTGGAATTGTATGTCAATTTTCTAGTGGGAATTCATTTCTTGTCCACCGAGGTTACTTGACTTTTTTTTTTAAGCTTTTCTAGTTGACGATAGATTATCATTAGTGAAAGGAAAAAGAAGCAAAACTGGATCTTTTTCCTCCCTAATCTCCCGCCCCTTTTCTTCTCCCAGCCAGAACAGAGTTCGAATGAATGCTGTGAGTTGGACACTGTGCTTTTTTCATTTTGTCCTTTCTTATTCACATGTTTGGTGGTGTTACAGTATATTGCTTTCATTTGTTGGCTCATTTCAAGAAGCTAATTTGGGATGAGATTACTTTCTCTATAGTTTCAATATTCCTTTTTTTTTTTGGCTGGGGGTGGAGGAGGAGAGATTGTTTTGGTTTATTCTTGAATTACGCAGGACTTGTGAATTTGCAGCTAGATATTATTGCAACAGTCAACATGTCTACTCTCTGAACGATATTCATTTGATTCAACTGACTACAATAGCTAAAATGCTGCCTGCATAAGATTAAATTTTGTTTTTCCTTGTAAATATTAACAAGAATCTGCATGTCGATATTGATTTTCCCTATTTACCTAGCAACTATATAATCAGGTGAATTTCTGATTGCCCATGTAAATTGTGAAACGTTTAAAGTCATGTGTTTCAGATTTTTGATATAATGTGTTTGACGGATGCAAAAAAATTGTTTCTTGCGTCATCTTCTGTTTTCCATTTTGTTGTCTTCTACTTTTGTTGACATTTAAAAAATTTTTGGTCGACAATTTAGGCTATCAGACACTTGTGCAGATTCTTGAAGCATGCAAGTCCTCTCATGATTTGAGAACTGTGATCGCAATGCATGCTAAGATTGTTAAACATGGGTATGGGATGTACCCATCTATGTTGTCATTGTTGATATCCATATATGTTACCTGTCAATGCCGCAACCTTGCTTGCGAATTGCAGAAGGAAATTTCGTACCGGAATGTTGATATTGTCTCTGCAAATTTAATCATTTCAAGTTTCATGAAGATAGGAGAAATTAATATTGCCAAGAAGATATTTCAGAATGTGCCTTCCCGTGATGTAGTCACTTGGAACTCGCTGATTGGAGGTTGTGTAAAAAATGCTTCATTTCAGGAAGCATTGAGTACTTTCAGAGAGATGTTGAGAAGACAAATTGAACCAGATGGATTTACATTTGCATCTACTATTGCTGCATGTGCTAGACTTGGAGCTCTTCATCATGGGAAGTGGATACATAGTATGATGATAGAGAAAAGAATTGAACTAAATTACATCTTATCTTCTGCATTGGTAGACATGTATGCAAAATGTGGGCAAATTAACACTGCAAAAGAAATTTTTGATGGTGTCCAACGCACTGATGTTTCTATATGGAATGCGATGATTAATGGATTAGCAATTCATGGCCTTGCTTTGGATGCTATTGCAATATTCTCAAGGATGAAAGGGGAAAATGTCTTGCCCAATTCAATAACTTTTATTGGGATTCTAACTGCATGTAGCCATTGTGGCTTGGTTGAAGAGGGTCGCAAATATTTTGATCTGATGAGAACCTTATACTTGATCCAGCCACAGCTTGAGCACTATGGAGCCATGGTTGACCTGTTGGGGAGAGCTGGACGTCTAGAAGAAGCCTATGGAATAATTAAGGAAATGACTGTCGAACCTGATATTGTTATATGGAGAGCATTACTCAGCGCCTGCAGAATGCATAAGAACTCTGAGTTGGGTGAAGTAGCCATTGAAAAGATTTCACATCTTAGTAGTGGAGATTATGTTTTAATGTCAAATATTTACTGCTCCATCAAAAAGTGGGACAGCTCTGAGGGGATGAGATACATGATGAAGGAAAACGGTGTTCGTAAATGTAGTGGAAAAAGTTGGCTGGAATTTGGTGGTGCAATTCACCAATTCAATGCTGGTGACAAATCACATTGTGAGGCTATTCTGATAGACAAAGTGTTGGAATCATTGATCCATAGAACCAAAATAGAGGGGTTTATGTCTGAAACAGACTTGGTTTTTATGGATGTTTCTGAGGAGGAAAAGGAGGAAAACTTGAATTATCACAGTGAAAAGTTGGCTGTGGCCTATGGGATACTAAAATCAAGTCCTGGGGCTGAAATTCTGATATCCAAAAACCTTCGGACTTGTCTTGATTGCCACTCCTGGATGAAAGTTGTATCAAAGCTATTAAACAGGGTGATAATTGTGAGGGACAGGATTCGATTTCACAGGTTTGAGCGTGGAACCTGTACCTGCAGAGACTATTGGTAGTCACTCTTGATTAAGCTGGTGAGGATCTGGTTCTTTGTTTTTCTTTTTTAAAGTATGGCTTGCACTTCCTTTTGTTTTCAGCAGGTAGGGTTGTAGGAAGTTAGTCTTCTGGAATGCATCCTCTGAGCTAACCCACATATTGCCAGGGCCATTATATTTGTGCTCGGACCAAGGAGTTGCCCTGGCTCTTCAGTGGATCTTTGAGATAAGAGTTCCTGATCGATTAATTTTCATGTTCTGCTGCAAAAGAAAGAGTAGAAGATCCATCAATTTGTCAACAACTTGTTGCGAAGTTCATCTGCAGGGTAGAGTGAAATTTTGCGGCTGTCAAGTTACATATTCAATTTAACATGTGAAAAAGGTTTTAGTGTGAGATTGTTTACATATCTTATTTTTGTCTATTTTAAAATGATTGTTAATCATAGATGGTTAAGCCTTTTTATTGATGAAATAGAGCATTATTTGTCTGCAGGTCAGCCTGGAGTGGTACAGCCATTCTGAATTTGCATGTTCTAAAGAGCCCAAATTATATAAAGATAAATGCTTGCTTAATCTGGTAGCTGACTCTGTAACATGAGCATCTGCTATGGAGAAGTGAAATAGATCCCCCAAGTTTGAAAATGGAAGCAGCCAAAGCGAAATAATGAAATGTTGCCAGCTTGAAAGGGCCTGCTTTTTGGTAAGTTACATGCTTCTTTTCCTATATATCTATTGCAGATTCTGGTTGTGTAGAATTAGTCTCAAATGGACTGATGAAAGTAGAACTCCACTGTTCGACACTCACACACATAGGCCACCCACACTCTGTGTGTGTGTGTGTTGCTCGCCCCTCTGTCCCGCTGTTGCCTGCTTTTTCTTTATCGACTGAAATCACCTAGAAGAATCAATGTGGAGTATGTCCAACAAATTGAATACCTACACCTTGCTTTTGTGTTTTTGGAACTATGGGCTTGTTAATGTGCCCTTCCATTTTTGCCCTTCTCCTTTTGCAATGTTATCTTGTCTTCTTTGAGCTAAACTAAATTGAAGCTTACTGTTGCCTGTTAATAAACTGATTCTGCAGGTCCACTGGAGTTGGACTAAATTTGCTGGTGGTCTTTAACCCCATCATGATCCTAGTGACACAAATCGTTTTGTCTCCTTGGAGAGTTGCAGTTTGCTGGAAATTTTTGTGCTTCTTTGGACCTGAGTGTGGTGTTGGTGTAACTGTGCAAGGCTACTTGGAATGTGCTGTTCATTTCTAATCCTGCTTTGTCTTTGTTGTCTGCAACTATATGGATTCACTGCTTCAGCATGATTAGGAAATTATAAACTTATGAGATAGATAGCGTTGAGGGCTTGGAAAACTAGGAGGATCCAATAGTCTAATCTTGTGTGGAGGATCAATTTTATCTTCTTCTTATCAAAGATTCCTCCTCGAATTCCTTTTTTTTTTTTTTTAAAGCTTCTCCTTGAATTCTTAATTGGATAAACTGATCTTTCTTGTTGCTCATGCAGTACTACAGTTATTGTCGACCTTATATTTGTTCCCAATAATGAATTTTTTCCCTATAATTTTCTTACATATCCTTCCGATAAAGATTAAAAGCTGCTGGGAAACAAATTTTTGACTCAGGAATTATTTCATGTGAGAATGACGGTAATCCTCTCAGCCATGTGTTAAATCAAGTCACAAAATAGTTATAACCACTATTTCAAAGCAGTCATCAATCTTCCCAAAGAAAAATAAGTTGCAAAGACAAAAAAGAATAGGATGCTGATATTGGAAGTAGTGCTTCTAAAGGCATGATTATGTTGTTGGTTGGGCATCTTCATGGATGGGAAGCAGACGTAGTTTGCCTCCATAAGTTTCAGGAAGTTGGCTTTCATCAATGTCTTCAAGTAGAGTCGCCTTCAGCCGTTTGTCCTTCACAAGGATAATCTGTTGGAAAAAAAAAAAAGAGGATATCAGGTGATTCAGAATTTAAAGGCACAAATATCTGAGTGCAGGTCATTTGTGTACCTTTTTCTTGGTATTTTTGTCAATAAATGGGTAAAAAGCCTTCCAGACCGCCCTGAATATGTAAGGCACGTGAATAATCAACAACTTTCCAAGTCTTTCCGGGTAGTAGTCCTGCGATTGAACTTCGAAAGCAACTCCTTAGGTAGCCATTTTTTTTTTTTTTCGCAACGATAATATTTGTATAACTTACTCTAACTTAATATAAGAAAAGGGAGGAGCCGACAAGACGAGTTGACGGGAATTTCTGTCGGAGGAAGCCACAATTAAATGACAAGGGTGTCAAACCCTTGACCTTCCACCCCTACTAAGAGATTTATACCCACAGCGTAACAGACTGTTGGCACTCCTTAGGTAGTAACCATCACCGCATTTGTTGTCACAATTAATACTGACGTTTGAAATTTCAACTCGTGACCTTGTGTTCTTTTGCCATGTACAAAGTTTCCGTTAGTCAAAATTCTGTTGCTTGCCGGCCCGTGACTCGGGGGTTTAAGTTTAGGATTAATTTTCTATACATTGACAGTGTATATACTTTTATCATTAGATGCGTGATACATAATTCAAATATGAATTTGAAAATTAAATTTGACATATGTGTCGTATATTCAACCGTGATAGTATATACACCGTCAGTGTATATAAGATTTACTCTTAAGTTTAACGCCTCTGAGGCACTAATACTCTACTTTTTTTGTTTTTTTTGCCATTTTCAATCAACTAAAGTACAGCTACTAGGTTGAGGTTTAATTATTTTTGGTACAACATATTTCCGTTTTAGGGAACCAAGAGATAACGATAGATGCTATAGCTGCAGTGAGTTAAATCAGGGACAAGTATCTGAGACTGGTGACTTTGAGCGTGTTTAATAACCCCATTAAGTACTTAAAATTAATGGATTACGGTGTTTTCCTATTACGCAAATTGGGCAAGAGTGCCTTGCCATTTTTCTGAGTACTATAATTTATGCTAAAGAATGTGCAATAGTTATAAAGAAATTACTAACCTGCAAGATGGATAGAGCTCCAAGATAGGCACGGAGATCACTGTTACAGTACCCCCATCCTTGAAGATCTGCAATTACTAAGAACTTCTCTTGCCCGGGTGGCATCCTGTCATAGGAATCAAGAAAAAACCAAACATTATCCAACTGAATGATGATTTTTGCAGCATGGAAGTTGCCTGATTTGCTTTCTCGTTGCTGCAGTTCTTTTTTTTTTGACTAATAAACTTCCAGAAAGAGGCAAAGAGCAGTTAGTACCTGGAGCCCAATCTGTCCAAAGTGAAAACTACAAAACCTGGAAGTGAAGAAAACACATTGTAAGATCAAGGAATATTAGCATGTAAATCTGCTGAAGTCTTTTATTGGAGTACAAATGTAACCTACGTACGTTTGAACTCGTCTAGACCTCCAATTTCGTTTTGGAAATGTCTGGCTCCGATGAGTACAGCAATTGGTCGTCCCTTCTTATCTATTCCTTGCACGAACATCTTGTTCTGTGCTATTTCATTTGGAACTTCAGAAGAGGAAATGTGGCCACTGGGAACAAACATTCTTCTCCATTTCAGGCACTTTAGGAGCATATCAGAAGCTTTCTCTACGTCTAGATTCCGAGCACGAAGAAACCTTCGGATTGTTAGATCATCAACCTCCTGCAAAACCAATTCAAGATCAGCTATAATAAGAAAACTCCAGGTGATCACCAGCCCTAGTATATTCAAGAATGTCAGCATGTTACAGAAGAATAATAAGGCTTCTTTACGTCCTTTTTGAACTTTAGCTGAACGTTTCAAAGAAAATAAGGTCTCTGCGACTTAGATCAACTCTTTGTGATCCATTGAAGGAGAAAAGTATCTCAAATATAGGCCCCAGACTGATAAGAGTTCTTGAATTTTAAAGAGATTATCTTTTACAAAGATATAAGTTTGCAGTAGAGCAAAATGCCCCGGCAGGTTGGGTTGGGTGGTAAGGGGTAAAGGATCGTAAGATCTGTAATTTACCCCCCAAAAAAAAAGTGCAAAAGGTCTAATGAGCTAAAGATGAACAAGAATCAATGGTTCTTTTCTTTTTTAGAATCTAATTTAAAACCCAAAAAAAAAAAAAAGAATTCATTGACAGACAAATTAAGAATATGCTTTACCATAATGATGAAAAAGTGAAGAAAAACGTGCTTAATTAATTGCATGAAAGAGTAGTAACATGATGATGTACCTTGCAAGAAGGATCTTGATTTTCAACTACGGCTCTCACGAGGCAAACTTTGTTTTTCTCCACCTCATTGCTCTGATCACCACCTTGTTCGTCCACAGTACCATTAATATCTGCTTCTCTCATTTTTTGTTGTGTAGGAGGGTTGATTGAAGAAGCCTCGCCCTCCCTCTTCTCCACTATTAGACTATTTTTCCCTCCCGTTTCCATTGCCTTTTTTTTTTTGGCACCACAGACAAAGCTGGAACTGAAGTGCTAAGGTGTCCACCACCCAGGGAAGCATTTGCCACCGCTTTTTCCCATATCCATGTATATATCCAGACATGAATTTGAGGAAGAAAGGAGATAGTTCGATAATGATGATGTAACAGCTCATTAATGCTGCAATTGACTTGAATGAAGTTCCTGTTGGTGATGGAAATCAATAATTTTGTACGTCTACAATATGCAGAACAGTCAGCAAGTAATTGCCTGTAAATCAAAACAAGACACATATGCGCCCCCCTTCCCCAGAATTCCAGAAACCCATAAAAAAAAAAAAGCCAAAAAAAAAGGCCAAAGGTTTACTTGACTGAGCATTTTCAAATCGTTCTGTCAAATATATTTCCTATACATGTTTTAAGTATCTCCTACGTGGTTTTGCCAAATATAATTTCTTATTATTAAGTGGAAAGTATTTACCATTGAAAATGGATTTTGACACGGGGGAAATTTGACCTACAAAAATTTACACGAAATGGCCCTACTACTTGTACGCGTGACAATGATATGTCTAATTGTTGGTGTTGTGCACAAAATTATTGGAATTCAATGCTTCACAGCCCAATTAATCGATATGGTGTCGGAGGGTTGGTTTGGTGCCGTGACCATGAGGCGTCCAACTACTTGTTTCCCTCTCTCTTTCCTCAGCCATAAATTGCTTGGCCACAAGCCAGGGATGTGATGTAAGGTCTCATGTGCAATGGAGTATATATACTACTTCCTCCGTTTCACTTTGATAGTCCTGCTTCTTTTTTCACACAGTTTAAAAAAAAGCGATTAACTTTGTTAGAAAAGTAAATTTAGATTGCTATTTTTCTAAAATACCCTCACATTAAATATGATACAACTTTATGGGAACTTGAATTGATGGTAAAAAAAAGAATCAACTCTCATTAAATGGGGTAGATTTATAGTAACAACTACTTACATTAAATAAGGGTATTTTAAAAAAATTAAAATACAACTACATTCTTCAATTAGAAAGTTGACTACAATTTGGGACAGAACAGATGAAAAAGGAATACAGAACTATCAAAGTGGGACGGAGGGAGTATATACAATGGGCATGAAACTATGGAATCCTGCACTTGTGGAACGTTGACTCATGGACAAGTGCTTTTTTTTTTCCGTAACAATGATAATAATTGTATAACATGTTCTAACCTAATCTAAGAAAAAAAGAAGTCGTTGAAGAAAGTCGCCCGAAGGTGGTAGCCATGACAATTTTGGCGGACAAGTGCATTTGCTGTTTGTAGAAACTGCAAAGTTAGTGACGCAAAAATATCTTAGTAATTGTGACGGGGTTAGAAGTTTCATCTATCATGCAGTGCGTCCGCATGCATACAGGTTGGCTGGCTAACGTTGGGCTTCAAAGTTGTATGTTCGTGCACATCCTCGGTGATCAGTCAAATCCAAGTATATGGTAATTTAGAAAGCATCAACCCATCGTACACCACCACCATCTGGGCGTGTATGTATGCATTAATGAATCTTGATAGGTGGTACATAGAGAAATTTCTAAGTTTGTGATGAATTTTAAAAAAATTCTACAAAAGGGGTGATTGTGGCGAGGAATTCTGTCGGAGGGGTCTTCGCATTCGTGAAATGCGAGCTCAGGAGAGTTCGCATTTCACGAATGCGAGCTCTCAACAGAGCTCGCATTCCTGAAATGCAAATTTTTTTGCTCGCATTACAGAGATGCAAATTTTTTTTTTTTTTATCTACATTTTTGTTGCATTTTATATACTATATAACTAGATATGGTTTTGGGTTTTTCTTTTATATTGCACACCGACAAACAAGAAGAAGGATTAAGGAAGCATCTTTGATTCTGAAATTGAAAGGACAATGAAGCAAGTTTGGTCGTATCCCATTCCCATGGGGTGCCGTCAATGTTCATTTGCATCTGCATATACAGTAATAGTATCTATATGTCCCACAAGTGGCATGCATGCAGTAGTGTTTGATATTCATCTCTCCTTAATAAAACGAACACTTGTCACTCAT